TATGGTATGGTATGGTATGGTATGGTATGGTATGGTATGGTATGGTATGATATGATATGATATGATATGGTATGGTATGGTATGGTATGATATGGTATGGTATGTATGGTATGATATGGTATGGTATGGTATGGTATGTCTCAAAGTGTCTTTTAGGAACACTTGGCTTATGGGTATACATATTGAGACAAGATTGGTTGATACAGTGGCAGTAAGCTGAAGGCACACTATTGGCTTACTATGTGTACATATAAGACGTGATTGGTCATTGCAGCTTCAACTGGAAGGAGACATGGCACAGGCTGATTGACCTTAATCTTAACACAGCGATTTAGCATTAACTTCTACTAATTAGTTTTACCTGTTTAGCATTAAGCATTAGCAAAGCTATTTTTTGGTTAGTGGAATATGGGTTAGCAAAGCTAACTTTATGGTTAGCTGTGCCCACCATTTTGCATTTTCATAGACAAAGTTGCTGAGATAATTCAGCTCTTTAGAAGCTGAAGAGACAAGAGTCACTCTGAGATGTTGAAGGATCAAGACATTGTGGACCTGTTCTTATTGACATGTCTTTTCAGTGTTACACTGAGAACTGGGAACAGTGAGAACACCTGAGAACGGTGTCTGCTACTTTCAACCTTTATTTAGACAGGTTAATCTCATTGAGCCTTGGAGACTCATTTACAAGAGAGACCTGATTTATTTAACAAAGAGTGATGACAACAGTGGACAACAACGACAACAATAGACAGTCACAAAAGAGGCATACCAATTTAAATGTCTTTTTTGAACAAAACAAAACAAAATAGCAACCAAAAGGACAGTCAAAAGGAAAAGGAAAAGTAACGAAAAGAAAGAAAAAAACAGCTAGATTATAAGGCGGTGTAGAAAACTAAAAACAGGAACAAGTCTGCATTTGTTGTTGCCAGGAACTCGACAGATGTTTGAAGCCACTTAGAAAGGTCAAGGTCGAGAGCTTCAGATCTTTTTGCAAGATATTCCAAGAAACAGGAGCGGAGTAGGAGAAGACCCTTTTACCTAGTTCAGTCCGCACTGAGGGGACACTGCAGGTAATAATGTCCTGGGAGTCCACGCTGTAGCTGCACTCACGCAGAGACATGTAGGAGGAGATGTATGAAGGCAGCAGACCAAAAAGTGATTTAAAGATGAAAATGTACCAGCAGGAGAGTCTGCGTGAAGTTAATGGTGACCAGTTAACCAGTGAATACTGGGTGCAGTGGTGGGTACGGTAATTACAGCCAGTTCTGAATCTTAATACATTGTGATTCCTTAGATAGAGAACTTTACTAATTGGCTTTTATGTATGTGAATGTTCCTGTAAAGTGCCCTGAGACAACTTTGTTGTAATTTGGCGCTATATAAATAAACTGGATTGAATTGAATTGAACTGATGGGCAGCATCCAACATCTGCAGGGTTCTTGTAGGAGCGTTCATGTAAATAATGTCACCGTAATCAATGGAGGGAAGGAAAGTCACAGATACAAGGTGTTTTCTAACATTCAGAGTTAGACAGGATCTGTTTCTGAAAAAGAAACCCAGTTTAACTTTCAGTTTCTTTACCAAGTTTTCCACGTGGAGCTTAAAAGAGAGATGCGAGTCGACCAAGATACTCAAATATTTATAGGAATCAACAAACTCAATAGAGACACAATTTGAGGATAAAATCAGAGGAAGAACTGCTGGGACTGACTTCCTGTTTGAAAAAAAAACATCCCTTTGGTTTTGTCGGCATTTAGGACAAGTTTTAGACAGAGCAAGTCTGTTTGGATGATGTCAAAGGTGGCTTGAAAAAACTGGAAAGCCTTAGCAACTGTTTTAGCTCGACAATAAACGACTGTGTCATCAGCATAGAAATGTAAGGATGCATTAGGGATGTTCTGACCTACATTACCTATGTAGATTGTAAAGAGGGTGGGTGCTAAGACTGAGCCTTGTGGTACACCATTGTTGACTGTTAAATAACTGAAGTACCATTATGTTGAACACATTCCCTCCGGTCTGAGAGATAGTTAGAGAACCAACCAATGGTGTGTTCTGAGAGTCCGATTTATGAGAGTTTATGAAACAAGATGTTATGATCCACAGTGTCAGAATCTTTAGACAGGTCTAAGAAAAGTGCTGCACAATAATCCTTAGCATCCAGTGCTTCAACAACTTCATTAAGAACCTTCAGTGAAGCAGTGGTTGTGCTGTGTTGTTTCCTGAAACCAGATTGATGTGGAGGTAAGATGTTAAATGAGTCCAGGTCATTTTTGCTTTGAGAGTTTATCAGTTTTTCTAGAACCTTGGCTAAAAAGCAGAGTTTAGAGATTGGTCGATAGTTGTTCAGTGAGGGGGTTCACCTCCCTTCAGCAATGGTAGATCAAAGGCTGTTTTCCAAGTGTCTGGAATGAGTTTTGTCTCATGGACAGGTTAAAGATGTGGGACACCGGAACTGTGATGATATGAGCAGCCAGCCTTAAGAAATAAGGTGGAAGTTCATCTGGACCTGCAGATTTTTTAGAGTCTAGACCTTTTAACGATTTATTGACCTCACTAACTGAGAACAGAGAAAGAGATAAGGTGTGATTTACTAAAGATTGACTTGTTGGAGGGATTTGATTTGTAGAAGTTTGGTTATTAAATGAAGTGGCTGATTTTCCATTAGTAACTGTGTCAAATAAAGAACTAGAAGCAACAAAATGTTTGTTGAAACAGTTCAGGATCTTGTGCTTATTAGACACAGGAACAGAGTTAACAAGAAGTTGTGATGGGAGGTCAGATGATTGGGGGGTGCCTGAGAGAGATTTAATGGTTTTCCAGAATCTTTTAAGGTCATTTAAATTTTTGGAGGTCTGAGATAAGAAATAGTTGCGTTTTGTGGCTTTGATGGAAGTTGTGCATTTATTCGTCATCTGCTGAAAACTCAACCAATCAGTGTCTGAACCAGATTTTCTGGCTGTGGCCCAAAGATGATCTCTCCTGTGCAGGAAGTCAGCTAGCTCTGGAGTAAACCAGGGACTGTCTCATCCCTTTATTCTGAACTGACCAAAAGGAGCATGTTTGTTCACAAAATAAATGAAACTATTATGAAAATAGTTCCAAGCAGAGTTCACGTCATCAGTTAACAGAATACGATGCCAGTCAAAGTGAGACAGATCCCAAAGGAATGACTGTTCACAAAAACGTTTCAGTTCCCTTTTTTGAATTAATCTGGTTTTAGAAGATTTCATTTTAATGTCGCTGAGAGCCACTACTACACAATGATCACTCAAAATATCAGCAAATACACCTGTACCAGGGAATTTGTGAGACATATTTGTTAGAAATAGATCTAAGATGGAAGATTTTTCAGGACATTTCTTATTTGGTCTAGTGGGAGAGTCAATGAGTTGAGTCAGATTAAGTGACAGGCAACATTCCTTGAATTTATCACAGAGTAACAAAGTCCATGCTCAATAATCCAGGTATGCAATCCAACATTTTTCAGTCAGGTCATCTGGACAGTTTCTTTTTTTTGTGCTGAAACATTTTGCCTTCGATCCAGAAGGCTTCATCAGTCAAGGAAACACACAACAAAACTGATTCTTCCCCCAGCAGCTTACGCCAAAGTGGAACAAACCAGTTTTGCTTGTGATAAGATGATCTATCACAGAGTACTTCACAGGTAGTAGAGAGGTATTCCATGGTGGTGACTACCATTTTTAAAAAAGGGGGTGTTCCAGCTATAGATATAGTGGGAGCACACTTCTCAACCTCCCCAAGAAAATTTACTCCAGGATGTTAGAAGGGACGCTCTAACCAACTGTTGAACCTCGGATACAGAAGAAGCAGTGTAGCTTTTATCTTGGTCATAGAGCAGTGGACCACACTTTTACCCTTTCTGAGTTTCTGTGGTCATGTAAGTTCGAAGAGCCTGTGACATGCATTTCCTACAAAGGTAAAACGTGAAAGACAACATCCTAATATTTAAGAAATTTGGCATAATACCCATGAGTTTACCCATTTTGTCACAAAACTGTCAAATTTTCTTTTAAACTTGGCACAGCCAAAGTGAAACAGGAAGTAACAACTTTTGTAAAACAACTACTGGTAGGTGTTTTAGAAAATGGTGGTGATTTTTCAACAATTGTGTTTTTCTTCTGCAGTTTGTCAAGTTGTCAGCTTCCCGATAAAAATATTCGTGGCATCTTGACAAACAACTCTCAAGACCTAAAGTGAGTTTTTCAAATCGCCACAAAACTCTGACCAATGCTATTCCTCTGTGTGACTGCTGATGGTGCTGTTTTTTGGTTAGGTGTCCAACCCCTGGCTGTGATGGATCAGGTCACATCACTGGAAACTACGCCTCCCACAGGAGGTACAGGAAACAGTAGCTGTTCACACCAGACACAGAATAACGAGAACACAAGTGTAAAATTTATTCTGCAATTTTCAGAGTTTTTTTCTTCTGTTTTTGGACATTTTTCTGTTTATTTGTTGTTTTTATCTATTAGTTGTTAAATCTGGATGTTAAGTTTTTGTTTATATTTGTTTCTGTTTTTATTTAGGAATTCATTCATTCAACCTTTATTTAAACAGGTTAGTCCATTGAGCCACAACGACATTTACAAGAGAGACCTGGATTTTAACAGAGTGATGACAACAGTGGACAACAATAGACAACCACAAATGATGCATACAATTTTTTTTTAACAATTGAAAACAAAATGATAATTAAAGGGATAATTAAAAGGAAATGTAGCAAAAAAAAACAGCTACATTATAAGGTGGTGTAGAAAACTAAAACCAGGAACATGTGCGTTGGTTCTTGCCAGGAACTTAACAGATGTTTGAAGCCACTTAGCGAGGTCAAGGTCGAGAGCTTCAGATCTTTTTACAAGATATTCCAGGAAACAGGAGCGAAGTAGGAGAAGGTCCTTTTGTCTAGTTCAGTCCTCACTGAGGGAACACTGCAGGTAATAATGTCCTGAGAGCGCACGCTGTAGCTGCACTCACACAGAGACTTGTAAGAGGAGATGTATGAAGGCAGTGGACCAAGAAGTGATTTAATTTGTTTAAATTGTTTGAATTCATTTCTGTTTTTTTCTCACAGTCTCTCTGGTTGTCCTCGAGCCAAGAAAAGTGGCATGAAAATCCTCCACAGCAAAGAAGAAAACGATGAGCAGGAGCCGATCAAGTAAGACTTTAATATTTTCAACACCCTAACCTTCAGGCAGAATCTTCTTCTTCTTTTTCTTATGGCTTTTCCCTCTTCAGGGGTCGCCACAGCGAGTCATCCTCCTCCACCTCACACTGTCCTCACTACAACTACCTCCATGTCCTCTCTAATTGCATCCATGTATCTCCTCATTGTCTTTTTCCTGGCAGCTGCATTTCTAACATCCTTCTACCAATATACCCACGGTCCCTCCTCTTGACATGTCCAAACCATCTCAGTCTGGCCTCCCTAACTTTATCTCCCAGTTGTACAACCTGTGCTGTACCTCTGATGATCTGATTCCTAATTTTATCCAGCCTTGTCTCTCCAAAGGAGAACCTTAGCATCTTCATTTCTGCAATTCAAGTTCTTTCTCCTGTCTTTTTGTCAATGCCACTGTCTCCAGACCATACAACATAGCTGGTCTCACCACTGTCTTGTAAACTTTACCTTTGATCTTTGCTGACAACCTTTTGTCACAAATCACTCCTGAATCTTTTCTCCATCCACTCCATCCTGCCTGGACTCTCTTTTTCAATTCTTTACAACAACCATACTGCTGCTCAACATTCCCCATTTTCCTGGACAGTGGACCCCAAGTACTTCAAGTTCTGCACCTTTGTGACCTTTGCTCTTTGTAGCCTCACTGTTCCACCTCCTCCCTCTCATTCACACACATGGACTCTGTCTTACTACGGCTGACTTTCATTCCTCTTCTTTCAAGTGCATACATCCACCTCTCCAAGTTCTCTTCTACCTGTTCTCACCACAGATCACAATGTCATCTGCAAACATCATCGTCCACGGGGATTCCTGCCTAACCTCATCAGTTAGTCGGTCCATCACCAGAGCAAACAAAAAAGGGCTCAGAGCCGATCCTTGCACTCCCACCTCCACCTTGAAGCTATCTGTCACTCCTACAGCACATCTCACCACTGTCCTGCTGTCCTCATACATGTCCTGTACCAGTCTAATATACTTTTCTGCCACTCCAGATTTCCTCATGCAATACCACACATCCTCTCTTGGCACGCTGTCATATGCTTTTTCTAAATCCACAAAGACACAGTGGAGTTCTTTCTGACCCTCTCTGTACTTCTCCATCAGCATCCTCAAAGCAATGATGTCATCTGTGGTGCTCTTTCTTAGCATGAAACCATACTGCTGCTCAAAGATAGTCACCTCTGGTCCAAGTCTTGCTTCCACAACTCTCTCCCAGATCTTCATTGTGTGGCTCATCAACTTAATTCCCCTGTAGTTGCTACAACTCTGTACATCACCCTTGTTCTTAAAAATGGGCAACAGCACACTTCTTCTCCATTCCTCAGGCATTTTCTCACCCTCAAATATGCCATTGAATATTTGAGTCAAAAACCTCACTGCCATCTCTCCATTTCCAAACCTCCACTGGTATGTCATCAGTTCCTACTGCCTTCCTCTTCATTCTTCTCAGAGCTTTCTGGACTTCACCCTCACTAATCTTTCCCACTTCCTGGTCCACAGTTTCTATGACCTTTACTCTTCTTTCTCTTTCATTCTCTTCATTCATTAGCTCCTCAAAGTCCTCCTTCCATCTTCCCGTCACACTCTCCTCACTTGTTAGAACATTATCATTCCTGTCTTTAATAAGCCTAACCTGCTGCACATCCTTTCCAGCCTGATCCCTCTGTCTTGCCAATCGGTACAAGTCCTTCTTGCCCTCTTTAGTGTCCAGTCTCCCATACAACTCATCATACGCCCTCTGCTTTGCCTTAGCTACTTCCCTCTTTGCTCTACGTCCCATCTCCTTATATTCCTGTCTCCTCTCTTCAGTCATCTCACTGTCATATTTCTTCTTGGCTAATCTCTTTCTTTGAACAGCTTCCTGCACTTCACTATTCCACCACCAGGTTTCCTTATCATCCATTCTCTGTCCAGATGACACACCAAGTACCTTCCTATCTGTCTCTCTAATTACTGTTGCTGTAGTAGTCCAGTCATCTGGAAGCTCTTTCTTACCACCCAGAGCCTTTAACAGCTCCTCTCTGAATTTCTCACAACATTCTTCCTTCTTCATCTTCCACCATTTGGTCTTCTTCTCTGATTTTACTCTTTTTCTCTTCTTCACAACAACAATCAATCTGCACACAACCATCCGATGCTGTCTGGTCACGCTCTCTCCTGCCGCAACCTTACAGTCTCCAATCTCACTCAGGTTTCCTCTTCTACACAGAATGTAGTCGACCTGCGTACTCCTTCCTCCACTCTTATAGGTCACTCTATGTCTCTCCCTCTTTTGGAAATAAGTGTTGAGTACAGCCATTTCCATTCTCTTGGTGAAATCCACCACCATCTGTCCTTCCTGGTGTCTTTCCTTGACACTAAACCTACCCATCACTTCCTCATCCCCTCTGTTTCCTTCACCAACATGTCCATTCAGGTCTGCTCCCATCACCACTCTCTCCTCCCTGGGAATACTCTCTATTACTTTTTCCAGATATTTCCAAAATGTATATTTCTCCTCCTCATCACATCCAACTTCCATCCATCCATTTTCTTCCACGTATCCGGGGTCGGGTCGTGGGGGTAGCAGCCTAAGTAGGGAGGCCCAGACTTCCCTCTCCCCAGCCACTTGGTCCAGCTCCTCCGGGGGAATCCTGAGGCATTCCCAGGCCAGCCAAGAAACATAGTCTTTCCAGCGTGCCCTGGGTCTTCCTCTGGGTCTCCACCCGGTGGGACGTGTCCAGAACACCTCACCAGGGAGGCGTCCAAGAGGCATCCTAAACAGGTGCCCAAGCCACCTCAACTGGCTCCTCTCGACTTGGAGAAGCAGCGGCTCTACTCTGAATCCGTCCTGGATGATCGAGCTTCTCACCCTATCTCTAAGGGAAAGCCCAGACACCCTGCGGAGAAAACTCATTTCGGCCGCTTGTATCCGAGATCTCGTTCTTTCAGTCACAACCCAAAGCTCATGACCATAGATGAGGGTAGGAACGTAGATCGATTGGTAAACTGAGAGCTTTGCCTTTTGACTCAGCCCTCTCTTCACCCTGACAGACCTGTACAGCGCTCGCTTCACTGCAGACGCTGCACCTATCTGTCTATCGATCTCACACTCCATTTTTCCCTCATTCGTGAACAAGACCCCAAGATAGTCAAGTCAACTTTATTTATAGAGCACATTTAAAACAGAAACTGTTATCAAAGTGCTTAACAACAACAACAATAACAACAACAAAAACAACAACAACAACAACAATCAATGAGAGTAAAATTAAAAAGAAAAAATATATATACAATACACTAATAATAATAACTGAAGAATTAATAAAAAGTATTTAAAACATAGGGTCACAGATTAAAGAACTCTAGATCAATTTACACTGTGTGAAATGCCCGTGACAACAGATGTGTTTTAAGCAGAGATTTGAAGTGAGGAAGGGAGGTGGCCTGCCTGATGTTGGGGGGCAGGTTGTTCCAGAGCTTGGGGCCCATAACTGAAAAAGCCCGATCTCCTCTAAGCTTCAGTCTTGTTTTTGGAACAGCTAAAAGCAGCTGATCGGATGATCTCAGGGCCCGAGAGGGAACGTAAGGTTCCAGATGCTCAGAGAGGTAAATGGGGTGCAAGGCCATTTAAGATACAAAGTGTACTTGAAGAAGATACTTGAACTTCTCCACTTGGGGCAGGACCTCCTCCCTGACCAGGAGAGGGCACTCTACCCTTTTCTGGCTCAAGACCATGGCCTCGGATTTGGAGGAACTGATCTTCATCCCGGCCATGTCGCACTCTGATGCGAACTGCTCCAGCGAAAGCTCTAGATCAAGATCTGATGAAGCCAACAGGACCACATCATCTGCAAAAAGCAGGGACGCAATCCTAAGGCCACCAAAATGGATCCCCTCAACACCTTGACTGCACATAGAAATTCTGTCCATAAAAGTTATGAACAGAATCGGTGACAAAGGGCAACCTTGACGGAGTCCACCTCTCACCAGGAACTAGCCCGACTTACTGCCGGGAATGCGGACCAGGCTCTGACACCGGTCATACAGGAACCTAACAGCCCATATCAAAGGGCCCGGTACCCCATACTCCTAGAGTACCCCCCACAGGGTTCCCTGAGGGGCAAGGTCTAACGCCTTCTCTAAGTCCACAAAGCACATGTAAACCGGTTGGGCAAACTCCCACGCACCCTCCAGTACCCTGCTGAGAGTGTAGAGCTGGTCCAGTGTTCCACGGCCAGGACGAAAACCGCACTGCTCCTCCTGAATCTGAGGTTCGACTATCAGACGAACCCTCCTCTCCAGAACCCCCAAATAGACCTTACCAGGGAGGCTTAAGGGCGTGATCCCCCTGTAGTTGGAACACACTCTACAGTCCCCCTTTTTGAATAGGGGGACCACCACCCCAGTCTGCCAATCCAGGGGAACTTCCCTCGATGTCCACGCAATATTGCAGAGTCGTGTAAGCCAACATAAGCCTACAACATCCAAAGCCTTAAGGAACTCTGGGCAAATCTCATCCACCCCCCGGGGTCCTGCCACCGAGGAGCTTTTTAACCACCTCGGTGACCTCAGCACCAGAGATTGGAGGGCCCGACCCAGAGTCCCCAGGCTCCGCTTCCTCAGTGGAAGACGTGCCGGTGGAATTGAGGAGGTCTTCAAAGTATTCCTCCCACTGACCCACAACATCCCGAGTTGAGGTTAGCAGTATACCACCCCTACTATAAACAGTGTTGGTGGTGTACCACTTTTCCTCTCCTGAGACGCCGGATGGTGGACCAGAATTGTCTCGAAGCCATGCGAAAGTCATTCTCCATGGCCTCTCTGAACTCCTCCCATGCCCGAGTTTTTATCTCAGCAACCACCCGAGCCGCTTGTCGCTCGGACTGCCGGTACCCATTAGCTGCTTCTGGGGTCCCACAGGCCAAAGAGGCCCGATAGGACTCCTTCTTCAGCCTGACAGCATCCCTCACCGACGGTGTCCACCACCGGGTTCCAGGGTTGCAGCCGCGACAGGCACCGACAACCTTGCGGCCGCAGCTCTGGTAAGCCGCCTCGACAATAGAGGCATGGAACATGGCCCACTCAGACTCAATGTCCCCCACCTCCCCCGGAACATGTTTGAAGTTCCACCAAAGGTGGGAGTTAAAGCTCCGTCTCACAGGAGACTCTGCCAGACGTTCCCAGCAAACCCTCACAATACGTTTGGGTTTGCCAGGTCTGACCGGCATCCTCCCCCACCATCGGAGCCAACTCACCACCAGGTAGTGATCAGTGCACAGCTCCACCCCTCTCTTCACCCGACTGTCCAAGACATGTGGCCGCAGATCAGATGAGACGACCACAAAGTCGATCATCGAACTGCGGCCTAGGTGTCCTTGTGCCAAGAGCACATATGGACACCCTTATGCTTGTACATGGTGTTCGTTATTGACAATCCATGACGAGCACAGAAGTCCAACAACAGAACACCACTCGGGTTCGGATCAGGGGGGCCTTTCCTCCCAACCACACCCCTCCAGGTCTCACTGTCATTGCCCACGTGAGCATTGAAGTCCCCCAGCAGAACAAGGGAGTCCCCAGGAGGTGCACTTTCCAGTACCCCCTCCATGGACTCCAAAAAGGGCGCATAATCTGAACTGCCATTTGGTGCGTAAGCACAAACGACAGTCAGAACCTGTCCCCCCACACGTAGGCGGAGGGAGGCTACCCTTTCATTCACCGGGGTGAACCCCAACACACATCCAACCTGTGGAGCATAACCACTGACAACATGTAGCGTCAGACCTTCTACTTCTACTAAGTGCATCATCAGAAGCATCCGTAATGTGGGGGGGGGACACAATGATGTGTGTAGGTGTGCGTGCAAAGAAGTGTGCACTAATTTACAAAAAAAGCAACATTTCACCTAGATTTCCTTTAATTCCACACATTTAAATCATGTTTCGCACCGTTTGTGTAAATTCAGCTGTGGGTTTTAAAGACATTTTAACTTTAATACACTTTAATACAGAGTGGTCGGCAGGTCAGCACTAAATAAAAAACATCACCTCTGGACTTTCTTACTTGTGTTCAACACTACCCATCTAAATGATGTTTCTCATGAAGCTTGAGGACAATAAGGTGTGGGGGTTTAAAGACATTTCAACTTTAATGCACCTGAACACACAGTGTCTCTTACACCTGCAGAGTCTTACAGCATCACAGTTACTGCTAAGATAAGATGCTACAGACGTAGCTCCTCTCATGCATACTCCTAACATGAATATATGTTTATGAGCAACCCCCCAGTCAACAACTACCCGCACTAAGCTGCTAAACTGGCGAGCGAGCAACACAGAGGCGTCTCCATCTCCTCCACCTGTGCGCGTTTTCTGCCGAGGCTGGAGACTCAGCACCTGCACAGTTTTTGCTCTGTGTTAGAGCTGGAGGTAACCAGGAAAACCTGGAGTGGAGTTTTAGTAGCTTGCGTATTCTCCTATTGATCAAGTGGAATGGATTTGTTAACGAAGAAAAAGAAATTGTGCAGACTGAACTAATGTTTCATAGTAAAAGTGTGCGTGTGTGTGTGTGTGGGGGGGGGGGGTCAACATGAACGGTTTTTTAATGTGGGAGGGACTTGTCCCCTTCACATATAATGGTTGCGACGCCTATGACTTCTACCTTCAGGCACATCACCCTATCTGACACTCTCTTCACCTCTACTACATTCTTTGCCAACTCCTCCTTCAGGACCACCCCTACTCCATTTCTCTTTCTATCCACACCATGGTAAAACAGTTTGAACCCTGCTCCAATGCTGCGAGCCTTGCTGCCCTTCCACTTGGTCTTTTGGACACATAAAACATCTACCTTCCTTCTCAGCATCATGTCAGCCAGCTCTCTACCTTTGCCTGTCATTGTCCCCACATTTACATTTAGAGCTTCAACCCTCAGTCCTACATTCTTCACTTTCCTCTTCTCCCTCTGTCTCCTGACACGTTTCCCTCCTCGTGGTCATCCCCTAACAGTAGCACTATTTCCACCGGCACCCTGTTTGTCAACAGCACCAGTGGTGGTCGTTAACCCGGGCCTCGACCGATCCGGTATGGTTTCGCTTTGATGTACTCGCATTATGGTTTTGGCAAAAGTGTTTTAATTCAGATGCCATTCCTGACACAACCCTCACCATTTACCCGGGCTTGGGACCATCACAAGAGATACACTGGCTTGTGCTCCTTAGTGCCTGGTTTAACCATCAGGCAGAATATAAAAAAGTTAAAGCTGGTCCTCTGGACATTAAAAAAAAAAAGAATGTTTTGTCTTTCTTCCAAAAGACTTCCTCAGTCTGAGGTGCTGTATTCAGCTCAGTCTCTTAAATAGCACCTTCTCAGACTGGATCAACCAGTTTGCTGCTGACAACCAAAACAAGCTGCTCACATGGTCAAGAAGGACCATCAGCCTAACAATGGATCATTAGCACCTGATGGCTGTTTACTATTCACAGGAGGCTGAGTGATACTAGCAATCACAGCATTGTAAGAGGGGGACAGTTGAACACGGAGGCCTCCACCCCTGTTTAATGATGGACGATTTCTTTTCACAAAGATGGCCTCCTTTACTCTTCTCTCAAACCATCGTTCCTCTCTATCCAGGATTTGAACATCTTCATTCCTGAAAGAGTGACCGCTGGCCTGGAGATGAGTGTAGACCTCAGAGTTCTGACCTGATGATGTTGATCTTCTGGGTTGGTCCATCCTTTTGGGCAGTGGCTGTTTAGTTTCCCCGATGTAAGACTGATCACCCTCCTGACACTGAACAACATACACAATATTACTGTTTGTGCCAGGGGACTGGATCTTTGGGATGAACCAGTCTTTAATGTATTTTGGGGTTTAAAAGCCACTGGGATGTTGTGTTTAGAAAATAAACGTCTCAGTTTCTCTGATACTCTCTCAACATATGGAATGACCACTGGTCTGGGTCTGGGTTCCTCCTTTTCACCTGATGGCTGACTGGAGTCCAGGTTTCTTCTCTGCTTTCAGGAAGGCCCAGTTAGGATATCCACATTGCTCTAGAGCCTGTCACAGACCAATATTTGCAGTTTGACTCCCATCACCCTTTGGAGCACAAGTTAGGAGTCATCAGGACTCTGTACCGCAGAGCAGACAGCGTCCCCACTAACTCAGGAGCCAGGCAGAAGGAGAAATCCCACACAAGACAGGCTCATCAGGGTGCTAATGATCCATTGTTAGACTGATGGTCCTTCTTGATCATGTGAGCATCTGGTTTTGGTTGTCAGCAGCAAACTGGTTGATCCACTCTGAGAAGGTGCTATTTATAAGACTGAGCTGAATACAGCACCTCAGACTGAGGAAGTCTTTAGGATGAAAGACGAAACGTTTCTACAGTTTTTTTTTTTTGAATGTCCAGAGGACCAGATTTAACTTTTTTTTAGATTTTTCTACCTGGATTATTGAGCATGTATCAGGACATCAGGCAGAATGTCCCAAACTAGTGCCACTCCTGGTGTAGTTTTCCTGTTGGTTCCTAGTGTCAGGTGTGGTTCTCCTGCTGTTGATTCCTCCTCTCAGGTGTCCAGTCCCAGGTTGTGATGGACAGGGTCATGTGACGGGGAAGTATGCTTCTCATCGCAGTGCATCTGGCTGTCCCCTGGCGGCCAAGAGGCAGAAAGACAGCTACATGAACGGCGCCCAGTTTGTGTGGAAGTCTGGGAAAACGGATGGGATGACATGCCCAACTCCTGGCTGCGATGGCTCGGGACATGTCAGTGGGAGCTTCCTAACCCACCGCAGGTGAGTCATCTCAGGGAGCTTCATTCCTTTATCAACACTAATATCACCTCAGTTCAGAAGTTTGTATCCCCTGTTTGCCCTCCTCAGCCTCTCCGGTTGTCCCCGCGCCACTTTGGCCATGAAGAAGGCCAGGATGAGTAGTACAGAAATGCTGACAATTAAGCAAAGAACAGGCAAAGGTCTGAGCCTGAATAACTAATGTCCTCATTTATTTTGTTGTCTTTAAGAAATCATGTTACACTTGTTTGAAGGCAAAACACTTTGAGAACTTCTGTTTGGTTTTAGGAATTGAAAACGATGAAGAAATCAAACAGCTGGATGAAGAAATCAAAGATCTAAATGAATCCAACAATCAAGTGGAGTCAGAGATGATAAAACTGAGGACACAAGTGAGACCATCTTTGTTTATCATTCTGGGGATTGAAACTGTCTGACTGTTTATTATAAAAAGATTATTTGTGTGTAAAATCTATTAAACTGAGCCAGAAATATTTTGTAATTTTGGAACTGGAACATGTCCTCATGATGTCTCTGTCAGATCACCACCATGGAGACAAACCTGAAGTCCATTGAGGAAGAAAACAAGGTGATCGAACGGCAGAATGACTCGTTGCTTCATGAACTTGCCAACCTCAGCCAATCACTGATCCACAGCCTGGCAAACATCCAGCTTCCACAAATGGTGAGATGGACACACACTGTCCAACAGGGACACAAACTGTCCAACAGGGACACACACTGTCCAACAGAGACACAAACTGTCCAACCGGGACACACATTGTCCAACAGGGACACACACTGTCCAACATGCACACAACCTGTCCAACAGGGACACAAATAAGCTGGATTTGGATACAAAAAGATTTCCCAAGCTTTAAACATCCCAAGGAGCACTGTGCAAGCAATCATATTGAAATGGAAGGAGTATCAGACCACTGCAAATCTACCAAGACCCGGTCGTCCCTCTAAACTTTCATCTGGAACAAGAAGAAGACTGATCAGAGATGCAGCCAAGAGGCCCATGATCACTCTGGATGAACTGCAGAGATCTACAGCTGAGGTGGGAGAGTCTGTCCATAGGACAACAATCAGTCATACACTGCACAAATCTGGCCTTTATGGAAGAGTGGCAAGAAGAAAGACATTTATCAAGGATATCCATAAAAAGTGTCATTTAAAGTTTGTCACCTGGGAGACACCAAACATGTGGAAGAAGGTGCTCTGGTCACATGAAACCAAAATCCAACTGTTTGGACACAATGCAAAACGATATGTTTGGAGTAAAAGCAACACAGCTCATCACCCTGAACACACCATCCCCACTGTCAAACATGGTGGTGGCAGCATCATGGTTTGGGCCTGCTTTTCGTCAGCAGGGACAGGGAAGATGGTCAGAATTGATGTGAAGATGGATGGGGCCAAATACAGGACCATTCTGGAAGAAAACCTGTTTGAGTCTGTAAGAGACCTGAGACTGGGACGGAGATTTATCTTCCAACAAGACAATGATCCAAAACATAAAGACACATCTACAATGGAATGGTTCACAAATAAACATATCCAGGTGTTGGAATGGCCAAGTCAAAGTCCAGACCTGAATCCAATCCAGAATCTGTGGAAAGAGCTGAAGACTGCTGTTCACAAACGCTCTCCATCCAACCTCACTGAGCTCGAGTTGTTTTGCAGGAAGAATGGGCAGAATTTCAGTGTCTCCATGTTCAAAACTGACAGAGACATACCCCAAGAGACTTGCAGCTGGAACTGCAGCAAAAGGCGGCGCTACAAAGTATTAACGCAAGGGGGCCCAATAATATTACACGCCCCACTTTTCAGTTTTTTATTTGTTAGAAAAGTTTGACACATCCAATAAAATTCATTCTACGTCACGATTGTGTCCCACTTGTTGTTGATTCTTCACAAAAAATTAACATTTTATATCTTTATGTTTGAAGCCGGGCAGCACGGTGGCGCAACTGGTAGAGCTGCTGCCTCTCAGCGAGAAGGTCCTTGGCTCAAACCCCGGTCCAGGGGCCTTTCTGGGTGGAGTTTGCATGTTCTCTCCGTGCATGCGTGGGTTTTCTCCGAGTGCTCCGGTTTCCTCCCACAGACCAAAAACTTGCATGTTAGGTTGATTGGTAACTCTAAATTGTCCCTAGGTGTGAATGAGAGAGTGAATGGTTGTTTGTCTCTATTTGGCCCTGTGATGGACTTGCGACCCGTCCAGGGTGTACCCCACCCCTCGCACAGCGTTTGCTGGACATGGGCACCAGCGACCCCCGTGACCCAAAATGGAATAAGCGGGTAAAGATAATGGATGGATGGATGTGAAATACCAGATTGTACTGAAGACTGGAAACTGTTAAGAGTTAACAACATGTTCTTTTGTTAAAAACATATGGCTACAACTACATTTGATATCTTTTGCACTGTTCTGCACTACAAGAAAGAAGCCTAATACTTGATTTGTTTATTATTTAAAAACTCTGGAAACTGCTGGTAGTGGAGTGTTCTTGCTTGAGATTATTTTGTGGTATAGCAGTTTTCAAAATAAATGCTGGCAAAATGACAACCTATGGGTTTTTTTAAATTCCTTATTGCAAGTTTTGTATCAAAAACATATGAAATACATTGTTACCACCACCCGTCACAATACATATCGTGATATGAATTTCATACCATATCACACATCCTGTTAGGAATGAGATCATCAGAGGTACAGCACTGGTTGAACAACTGGGAGATAAAGTTAGAGAGGACACACTGAGATGGTTTGGACATGTCCAGAGGAGGGACAGTGGCTTGGACATGTCCAGAGGAGGGACAGTGATTTGGACATGTCCAGAGGAGGCATAGTGGTTTGGACATGTCCAGAGGAGGGACAGTGTGTATATTGGTAGAAGGATGTTAGAAATGCAGCTGCAGGAAAAAGACAAAGAGGAGATATATGGATGCAGTTAGAGAGGACATGGAGGTAGTTGGAGTGAGGACAGAGGACAGAGAGAGGATATAGGATGCAGAGGACAGAGTGAGGACATAGGACGCAGAGGACAGTGTGAGGACAGAGGATGCAGAGGACAGAGTGAGGGCAGAGAACACAGAGGACAGAGTGAGGACAGAGTGAGGACAGAGTGAGGACAGAGGACACAGAGGACAGAGTGAGGACAGAATGAGGACACAGAGGTCACTTAATGCGACATTAGAGTTAACATTTATAAATTAATGTTTGAAACAAAATGTCTTCTGTAAATCTTGCCGAGCAGGAAAACCTGGAAAACTCTTTGGTTTGAAACAATAAAACATTTTTTTCAACAATTTATGAAAACCTGCATATTTACATTTCAAGCTTACAAAGTTAAGCAAAGTGATTATTCAGATTAATCACAGACCTCCCTGGGCTGCCACCTTACCGTGGTGAAGGGGTTTGAGTGTCCCAATGATCCTAGGAGCTATGCTGTCAGGGGTTTTATGCCACAAGTAGGGTCACCCATGGCAGACAGGTCCTAGGTGAGGGACCAGACAAAGTGCAGCCCAAAGACCCCGATGATAAGAAATACAAATGTACATAATGCTCCCTTGCCCGAACATGGGTCACCGGGGCCCCACTCTGGAGCCAGGCCTGGAGGTGGGGCACGCGGGCGAGCGCCTAGTGGCCGGGCTTTTACCCATGGAGCTCAGCCAGGCACAGCCCAAAGAGGAGACGTGGGTCCCCCTGCCCATGGGCTCACCACCTGTGGGAGGGGCCAAAGGGGTCGGGTGCAAATGTGGGATGGGTGGTGGCCGAGAGCGGGGACCCTGGCGGTCTGATCCTTGGCTACAAAAGCTGGCTTTTGGGACGTGGAATGTCACCTCACTGGTGGGGAAGGAGCCTGAGCTGGTGTGTGAGGCTGAGAGGTTCCGGCTAGAAATAGTCAGACTCACCTCTACGCATGGCTCTGGCTCTGGAACCAGTTTCCTTGAGAGGGGCTGGACACTCTTCCACTCTGAAGTTGCCCCTGCTGAGATGTACCGAGCAGGAGTGTTCATACTTATTGCCCCCCAACTTGGTGCCTATGTGTTGGGGTTCACCCCGGTGAATGAGAGGGTGGCCTCCCTCCGCCTACGTGTGGGGGGACAGGTTCTGACTGTCGTTTGTGCTTAAGCACCAAACAGCAGTTAAGATTATCCACCCTTTCTGGAGTCCTTGGAGGGGGTACTGGAAAGTGCACCTCCTGGGGACTCCCTTGTTCTGCTGGGGGACTTCAATGCTGATGTGGGCAATGACAGTGAGACCTGGAGGGGTGTGGTTGGGAGGAACGGACCCCTGATCTGAACCCGAATGGTGTTCTGTTGTAGGACTTCTGTGCTCGTCATGGATTGTCAATAACGAACACCTTGTTCAAGCATAAGGGTGTCCATATGTGCTCTTGGCACCAGGACACCCTAGGCCGCAGTTCGATGATCGGCTTTGTCGTCATCTCATCTGATCTGCGGCCACATGTCTTGGACACTGGGGTGAAGAGAGGGGCGGAGCTGTCCACTGATCACTACTTGGTGGTGAGTTGGCTCCGATGGTGGGGGAGGATGCCGGTCAGACCTGGCAGACCCAAAGGTATTGTGAGGGTTTGCTGGGAACGTCTGGCAGAGTCTCCTGTGAGACGGAGTTTTAACTCACACCTCGGGGAGAACTTCGAACATGTTCCGGGGGAGGTAGGGGACATTGAGTCTGAGTGGACCATGTTTCGTGCCTCTATTGTCGAGGCGGCTTACCGGAGCTGCGGCCACAAGGTTGTCGGTGCCTGTCGCAGCGGCAACCCTCGAACCCGGTGGTGGACACCGCTGGTGAGGGATGCTGTCAGGCTGAAGAAGGAGTCCTATTGGGCCTTGTTGGCCTGTGGGACCCCGGAAGCAACTGATGGGTACCAGCAGTCCAAGCGACATGCGGCTCGGGTGGTCGCTGAGGCAAAAACTCGGGCATGGGAGGAGGTTGGAGAGGCCATGGATAATGACTTCTGCATGGCTTCGAGGCAATTCTGGTCCACCATCCAGCGTCTCGGGGGGGCAAGCGGTATGCCACCAACACTGTTTATAGTGGGAGTGGTGTGCTGCTGACCTCAACTCGGGATGTTGTGGGTCAGTGGGCAGAATACTTTGAAGACCTCCTCAATCCCACAGGCACGTCTTCCACTGAGGAAGCGGCGCCTGGAGACTCTGGGTCGGGCCCTCCAATCTCTGGTGCTGAGGTCACCGAGGTGGTTAAAAAGCTCCTCGGTGGCAGGGCCCCAGGGGTGGATGTGATTTGCCCGGAGTTCCTTAAGGCTCTGGATGTTGTAGGGTTGTGTTTGCTTACACAACTCTGGAATATTGCATGGGCATCGGGGGACGTTCCCCTGGATTGGCAGACCGGGTGGCGGTACCCCTATTCAAAAAGTGGGACCGTAGAGTGTGTTCCAACTACAGGGGAATCATGCTCTTAAGCCTCCCTGGTAAGGTCTATTCGGGGGTTCTGGAGAGGAGGGTCCATCAGATAGTCGAACCTCGGATTCAGGAGGAGGAGTGCAGTTTTTGTCCTGGCCGTGGAACACTAGACCAGCTCTACACTCTCAGCAGGGTCCTGGAGGGTGCGTGGGAGTTTGCCCAAACGGTCTACATGTGCTTTGTGGACTTGGAGAAGGCGTTCGACCGCGTCCCTTGAGGAACCCTGTG